CTTGATAATCCACTTAATCAAAGTTTTTACACGAATTTAGCTGCATGAGTTCGGAACAGTACCAATTCTGTCCTAGACGAAAATAATTTTTTATTTTTTATTTTATAATTTCATTTCATTTCGAGGATTAACTGAGTATTACTATATCTGTGTTGCCAATGTAGTATCATCAAGGATTAAACTTGTTTGTGACATAGATACATGTGTCTATCTGCTTTCTGACGGCATTGTTTCACTTTCAGAACTGCCATGGAGATGCCATCTAGCTTCAGTGAGGATGAAACTGCAGAAACCAATTCTTCTGTGGATTGAGATTCCCATAGCTGAAGGATGGAAAGCCAGAAGGGTTCACGAGGCCCTACGGATGTACAGTTGAAAGAGCTTGTATTCCATTTTAGCACTTGTCGTCAGCGGCAATCTGTTTTGGCCTTCCAGGGATCATTTGTTAATATGTGTAGAAAATAATTTGGTGTACTGCTTTAGTTGTTGGCTTTTGTTTAGTAGAAGAAAGCTGATCAAACTCAAATTACTTCTTTTTGGTTGGTTAAATGATGGCATTGCTTTCAGCAACTATACTTGGCTTGCTTTACAGGAACAAAGGGATTGTCACTTGTTAATTGTTTCCAGTTCATCCATTATTGTGGACAATATGAGAGTTAATTCCATTTATTGTAATTCTTATAGCTTCAGAACTTTTTTGGGTCAAGTGTAGATAACTACCTAAACTTTTAAGGGTGATTCGACGTTGGTTTCAATATGCTATAACATTCTAAATAACTGCCTATAAGTTGAGACATTTAGTAGGCCTAAAGCGTTTTAAGTGTTGACGTGGATGATACTTTGGAGTCGGTAATAACTTGACTAGTATCTTGCCAACAAGCCTTTACTCGTGCAGGTCCTTAAAAGCAATTCAGCTGAGTGATTATCATTATCTAGAAGGACAATTACAACAGTTTCCCAACAAAAAAAAAAGGGACAAATACAACATGAGATTCTTTCATTAAATTCCTTGTCCTTCCTCTCGCTTGGTTATGTACGGTTGACCAATGTCACAGGGGCAATGATGCCAACTGTCTTAATGCATTGCAAAAGTCTTCATGTACTCCTCTTACCAGTTCGTTTGACCACAAGACGATGCCAACTGATGATGACATGGTTGATTTTCATGGATTCCAAAATCTTGTGGTTTCTTGAGTTTGGATAACTGTGGGCTCACTCGTCAGATACCTGGGTGGTTATCAAACCTAAAGAATCTAGAGACGTTCTATCTAGGTGGTAATCAAATCACAGGATCAATTCCAAGTTGGTTAGGGGCTCTTTCAAAACTCTTTTTTTGTGAATTTCCAAAACTGAAGGAATAATTTGTGAAAACAAGTTCATTTGAGCAACATCTATGCATGCAATGCTTGTATGCACTCAAAAATAAAATTTTACCCATGAAATTCAAGGCCTAGTAGTTGTGGTGAACCAAGACTCAACTCAAATCTTAAAGAAAAGAGTTGAGAAACTTTTATACCTTTGAAGCACCTCTTTGCTTAACAAACGATATTCACCCATGTGAGGGCCTTCTTTCCTTAGTCTCCTTACTCCTTGGCTCCATGGATGTGGATGGAGGAACTTTGCTTCTTGGCTTCATGACTTCTTGGATATGGATGAAAGAATGGATTCTCCAAGTTCCCAAGAAAGGGAACCTCTAAGTTTCCACACCAAGGAAAGCATTAAGGAAGAGATGGATGCTAGTCCATTCTTCCTAGGGTAGCCGGCCTCCTAAGAGAAGAGAGAGTTTTTTTGTGTTTTTCTCTTTTCTCTCTAGAAAACCCTTATGAGGGAATGGGTTATAATTTCCTTTCTATAGCCACTTACATTGAGTGGCATAATTGAAATTAAAATCAATTCTCCCTCACACTCTTTATGGCCGGCCATGTGGGTTCATTGGGCTTTCATGCCCTTTGTATTTTCAAGTTGTCATACAACTTGAGTTATTGGTCTTGACATTCGAAGCCCATTGGGCCTTGAGGCCCAAAACTAACCCGAGGTCTAAAACAAACTTATTCGTTTGATTAATTAACATATTAATTAATCCTAGCCATAAATAATTAAACCATTTAATTGTCCTTACTCATCTCTGTTGTTTCTTCAATCTCTACCTTACACGGTGTACAATCCATTAGATTCCTCTTAGCTAGGCAGTGGATGATTAGAACTCTTCAAATCGATTGTGAATTGAAACTTACTTTTCAATTCTCCCTTTAGTGATTATACACCTTTAGGGCTTCCACAAACTATGAGTGACACCTAGCAGTATGTCATGGCTACCCAAGCTAATCAGAAGAGGTAGAGAACCTATTCAGTTTGGGATTACAATGCAATATGGTCTTTCTCTAATACAATACTCTTGACCACATTGTTTGATTTGATAGTTTATTCATGTCTATTATCCAATGTGATTCTCTTACTTATATGATTACCTTGAATGTGATTTGGAACGAATTCCTAAATCTCATTCATACTCTGGCCAGAGATTCTTAATCATATTATAGAGTATTCTCCCTAAAACGGTTTGAAGATTAGAGATCCCTTGTTGTGCAATCACTTGCCTCCATGGCTAAGTGGCTTAACCCCAACTATGTCGTGGACACCCTTTGGCGGAATGACTATGACATAGTCAAAGATGACAACTATGATGCCATAGTTCAAAGGACTACTTTGCATTATCCCAACCATGAGTTTTCATGTGACATTAGTATGAGAACTCCTTTTTGATCACATTCAATGGACTCATTTTCCATTGAGCACCTACATGATTGTCTTGGAGACCAGTCACTCTCTTTAAGAGAAGACATAGCACATACTGATCTTAACGGACTGTCAATGTCCAATTGGCAATCCTATGATCAGGAACGTTTAGGATATGTATACAAAAGAGAATGGTCTCATGAATCTAACTTCTTTAGATCACATTCTCCCAATTACATATTCCTTGGACCTAACGTTTAAGCATATAACATTTATATGAGACGGCTTTAAACAATAATCTTTGCTCTTTATATTAAACTAGATTAGTTTAACATGTGAAATGTCTATAAAGTATTATCATATGATTGGCTTTAGGGTACATTTCCAACAAAAACAACCACATTTTAGGTGAATTTCCAACATAACTTTGTAGATTGCCAATAATGGCGAATGCATATCTAGTAAACAATTATGAAATTGAACTTCCCCTCTTCAGTGGTGTAATTGAAAATCCAAGTTTTGTGCTTCGTGGATCGTCCAACTTTCCAGGTATGAAAGAGTTAAGGACAATAACATTAGTGGTAGTATACCTACTGAGATCGGCCAATTGCAGCTTATTTGTAAGTTGTATTTTAATGGCAACTTTTTCTACAATGACATTCTAGACCAAATATTTAAACTAAAGTATTCAGAGATTTTGACTTTCTCCACAAATCATTTGTTCGGAAAAATCCCCTCGCCCATTGCAAGCCTTAATTTCTTGAATGATTTTGATGTCTCGTACAATAATCTTTAAGGACAAATACTGACGGCACACAGCTCCAAAGCTTTAAAGCTTTTCCATTTGAGGGGAAACCAAAACTTTGTGGCGCTTCACTTCCAAATGAGTGCTAAGAAATTGATCTAGATAATATGAACAATGTCGATCAAGATACAGACAATGAATGCGATGAGATTCCCTGGTTTTATATTTTTGCAGCCTAAGGTTTTATTGTCGGATTTTGGGGAGTTTGTGGTTCTTTAGTTCTTAACAAGATGTGGAGGTATGCGTATTTTCGATTCCTTGATAATATACAAGCTTCGCTCTATGTGAAGATGGCAATGTGTATGGCTAGAATGTAAAGAAGGATTGGAGACTAGATTGTACTTTTGATTATATATTTTCAGTTTTAGTAAAGATATTTGGATACACAAAATTAGTACACTTGCTGACACACTCTCTAATAGAGGTGGATTCTACCGTTGTATGTGAACACACTTATATTAAAGATTGTTAATTTGTGTATCCAAATAGGATGGCTCTTTTAGTTTTTATTTGTTTGTTTTCATCATGATGTAATCATGTAATAAAACTATCCATACATACAAAATTAACACACTTGTTGAAGATACTTTTCTAGTACATATGAGCTGTACTGTACCATGGTATGTGGGTCTCTCTCATACTAGAGAGTGCCAACAAAAATGTCAACTTATGTGTCCAAATCACATCATCAATGGTAATATATTCTTCAAATTTCGACTTGCTGCAAGCCGAATGTCAAAGCTGATTGGTGATATTTTTTGTCATATGTCGAGAAGACACTTATTATATAATGACAACAATTAACATTGTGAAGCAGTTTTTATATGAATTTTGGAAATATACAAAATATTAAGCGGGACTATCGTGCAAAAATCAAATGAACAAATAATTGAAATTTAAACTTTGATACTTCAATTCGTTATTCTGAAAAATCGGTAGCTGGAAACCTTTATAGTGGAAGATGATGTTAATGGTTTGACATATGGCTTGATTTTACCAAAATGATTCGAGTACAATGTATTGAAGTTGAAGGAAATTTTCATAGGAAAATACCCTAAAATTGGACAATTTCTTAATCTTGGGATAGAAATAGGACATTTCAAATATGTACACGTCATGCGCACGCGATGCACAACAATTATAGAAATAGGATTTTCCTTACTCCTTGAAATGACCAAATTGCCCTTGCATATAAATGAGTTAATTCTTCCCATGTTCTGATTCCTCTCCTCTCCTCTCTCCCTACGAAGTCTACACTCTCTTCTTCCCAACCTGCATTCAATTTCTTCATAAATTACTAAGCCTAACCCCCTTTCAATCTGCAATCTGGGTTTTAACGTGCAAGAACAACCTTGAGTTTGATAGCAGATAGCGATCTGCAAAGTTCAAACCCATTTCCAATTTCTGTGAATGCTCTGGAGTCTCTCTCTCTCTCTCTCTCTCTCTCTCTCTCTCTCTCTCAATTCAAAATTTCAAAAATTCACAACCTGATTACACGGTACAACCAAACTGATTACAAACATACCCTTGAAAAACAAATAAATAAAACAGAAAAGCTTATTAGAAAAGACCATTGACTTCGTGAACAAACTTAAGAGTTTGTAATGGAAGAGGAAACACGACTCAGTCTAACAGAGAAATGCAGGCACAACTACATTTAGGTTTGGATCTACCTTCACAAGTGGCGCTAACGTTAAACCTGTTAAACCTGCAGACAAAAGTAACTTAGTCATTTAATTTCTGATTGATGACCATTCCACCAAAACCTCAACCATGGCATCTAAAAATTGCAGAATATACTTTGAAAATTTTACTAGATAACTAAAATGCATTGCACTTATAACCGACATACAGACACTGTCGACATTCTAAATCCAAATCTTTATCCATTCACATTTTCTAAGTAGCCAAACACAAATTACACACTACTACGGAAGAAACAGTGAATTGGACAATTGAGCTATCTATGAATTTGCTTACGCATTTGTTATCAAGAGTCTTGGAATATATACACTACATGTCTAGTTTCCTGTTAGTGGTGCAACAACCACAACCCGTGGTACTGATGTTGGGGATGTCTAGAGTCCATCAACGTAAAGAGTTGCAAGGCGCTACGAACATCTTGTTCTCTTCTGCAATTCAAACATAACCATGTTAAGCCAGGCATGTCCAAAGTTCATTAGAGTTCACTCTTTCACCACTGGTTATTACCTAGAATCACTGCGAGGACAGAGTGCATCTATTTCATCTATAAAGATAACAGATGGCTTGCCTGACAATGTATGCGAGGAAGCCTTCGCAAAAATCTCCCCTCAAAATTCTCACTTTCTCCGGCATGTGCTTTGTGGACAGAATGTGGACTATAGAAAAATAAACGAAATTAAAATCATGACAACTTAATATCGTAAACATAACTTATCATGAGTCAAGAACAACACTGCCATCATTTCATTTGTACCCATGAGATTAAGATTAATGTAAAGATTAAGGAATAATAGGGTACCTAATGACAATTAAATGTGCTATACCACATTCCCTAACCACTGCTCGTACCAAGCTTCTCTAGCATGAAGAAAAACAAAAACACAAAATTTCATAAGAACCCAATAAGCAAACAAAATTAATAAAACCCAATTAGCAACCAATGTTATTTACAACTTTAACAATATGATCAAGCAAATTAAAAGGGTAAAAATCTAGGAAAAATAATGATTCAATCAATATTTACCTTTCCGGTGCCGGGAGGGCCGCAAAAAAGCAGACCCCGAGGCCACTGAAGAAAAACCCAGCAACCCAAAATTAATTAGCATAAGAGATATGGACCGTCCGCGCGCGTGTGTGTGTGTGTGTGGGGGGGGGGGGGGGGGGGGGGGGGGGTTGGGTGGGTGGGGGATGTGGTGGATGTGGTGGCGGGGGGTGTGTGGGTTGGGTTTTTGAGGTGTTTACATAAAGACCGAGCTTTTGGGCTTGACGGCTATAAAGGAGAGGATAGATGATGAGTTCTCTGAGAGTTCAGTGAGCTTCGTCCCCCTCCGTCGAAGCAGTCTACAGGACCCCTCCACTGCGATTCTCCTATGTTCGAGCCTCCTTTCACCACCGAAATCAAATCAAAACGACATTAAAACCCCCCCAAAAGACTCAGAATTTCAGCGGGCGTAGTCGCTCCTAGCGCACCTGTAGGGAATGAGGTAGACAGCTCTCTCCTCCTCCCTCTCTTCAAAATCAGAACTCACAAATCTGAACTCAACCAAGAAACCCAAAGCCCACGCTCGACTTCCTCGATTCCAAATTAGAAAAATGATGTAAAGTGATGCACTTAGCTGAGAGTTTTTAATACTTATACGTGGATATTTTATTAATTTTAGTTTTGTGCATAGTGTGCATGATTTGTGCATTGTCGGTTTGTTCTATTTCTGTCATAAGATTATAAAAATGTACCATTTTGGGTATTTCCCATTTTCATATTTATCGAAAAGAAAATACAATAGAATTTCTATAATTTAATATCCCACAAATTAATAACTTCGATTAATATTTTGACGGTTCTCAACTTGAAGATAATGTGCTAAATTAATTATTTGCTATATTGATAAGATAATACATTATAAAAAATTAATATAGTTCTCACAGAATATATAAATTAATAATTTGTGGAAACATAGTATTTATGATGTGACTATAATACGTAGTGCTTTTGTTTTTTAGTATTACCTGGATTATTTTTATTGTACTCACACAATGCTTTACGCATTTCATCCATCATTGTTGAATTATTTACACCTTTGAGATGAGTGACCATTGTCGTATATGATGTGCAGTTTTAAAATGGCTATTGTTTATTTAAATAGAGCTTTTGATTAGTTAAATGTTCTTAAAATGAAATAATGTAGAGTATTCGAACAATGTACCATCTATTTTTGAGAAAAATATGTAGATCTTCAACAGATAAGGTAGAACAGTTGATGAAGTCGGTGACACAATGGGCGAATGCGAGTCTCAAATTTAAAGAAAGTATGCATTGGTAGTAAAACTCATAAAACCTCACTATGGTAAAACCTAATGGTAGGAGAAAAATGTGACATCCCACATCGTCCAGGGGAGTGATCCTTAAATGTATATTCTCATCCCTACCTAGCACGAGGCTTTTTGGGAGCTCTCTGGCTTCGGGTTCCGTAGGAACTCCGAAGTTAAGCGAGAAGGGGGCTAGAGCAATCCCATGATGGGTGACCCACTGGGAAGTTGCTCGTGAGTTCCCAAAAACAAAACCGTGAGGGCGTGGTCGGGGCCCAAAGCGGACAATATCGTGCTATGGTGGTGGAGTGGGCCCGGTCCGCCCCGGGCCGGGATGTGACAAATTGGTATCAGAGCCTAACCCTGGCCGCGTGTGTGCCGACGAGGACGTCGGGCCCCTAAGGGGGGTGGATTGTGACATCCCACATCGCCCAGGGGAGTGATCCTTAAATGTATATTCCCATCCCTACCTAGCACGAGGCCTTTTGGGAGCTCTCTGGCTTCGGGTTCCGTAGGAACTCCGAAGTTAAGCGAGAAGGGGGCTAGAGCAATCCCATGATGGGTGACCCACTGGGAAGTTGCTCGTGAGTTCCCAAAAACAAAACCGTGAGGGCGTGGTCGGGGCCCAAAGCGGACAATATCGTGCTATGGTGGTGGAGCGGGCTCGGGAAGTGATCCGTCCCGGGCTGGGATGTGACAAAAACCCATAGACTAAGAAGAAAAGTGAGAAGTATGCATAATGTCTAAAACAAATGTCAAACAAGACGAAAGTAATGAACTCAACGAAGTATGATCATCCCAGGATGGGTGCCTCATCAAAACCTCGTTAGGTAGCAAAAATCCAGTGGGAAAAAATGCTCCTAATCGTAGGAAAAAGAGTACATTAAGATCAAGTTAGTATGCTTCATGATACTCCCCATGAGTTAGACATAACTTCTAAATATGAGAACTATAAGCAATTCAACTCAGATAATTTATGTATACCAATTCATTGGATGAGCTTCTGAAAGGTAGACTTGGGCAATGACTTAGTGAAGAGATCGGCCAGGTTGTTATGGGAACGGATTTGCTTGACTTCAATGTTCTAATGTTGTTGTTACTGGTAAAAATAAAAGAACTTCGGCGTTATGTGCTTGGTGTTATCTCCTTTGATGTATCCCTTCTTTAACTGCTCAATACATGCTGCATTGTCTTCAAAGATTGTCGTAGGAAGGTCAATGACGAGAAGTAAGACCACTAATGCTTCGAATATGTTCCATAACTGCTTTCAACCAAAAACATTCTCGTGATGCTTCATGCAGGGTGAGAATCTTAACATGGTTTAAAGAAGTCGCAACTGCTTGGTAGACCTCCAAGATATAGCGGTGTCTCAAATGGTAAAGACATAGGCCATTTGAGAACGTGCGTTATGTGGGTAAGACAAATATCCAACATATGCGTAACCAACAAGGCGGGAATAATCCGAGGACCCAGGGGGCGGCAACTGTCGAAGATTCACGGGTATAGAACAAGTCCAAATCCGTTGTACCCTTGAGGTAGCAGAAAATGTCTTTAACACCATTCCAATGTTTGCGTGTGGGCGCATTGTTGTATCTAGCCAAAAGATTAACAGCAAAGGAAATGTTAGGTCCAGTGCATTACGCCAAGTACAATAAAGCCCCAATTGCACTTAGGTATGGAACTTCAGGTTCCAAAATATCTTCATCATCCTCCTTTAGATGGACGGGATCTCGTTTAGCATCTAGAGTCCGAATGACCATAGGCGTACTTGAAGGCTTCGCTTTATCCTCATTAAAACGTTGCAACACCTTCTAGGTGTAGTTCGATTGATGTGCTCGACCTTCAGGCCGAGGTAGTATCGAGTTTTTCCAAGATCTTTCATCTCAAATTCCGATTTCAAGTGATCGACAATTTCCTCAAGCTCAGAGGGAGTTCTAATGAGGTTCATGTCGTCGACATAAACTACAACGATTGCAAATCCAGAATGTGACTTCTTTATGAACACGTATGGACATAATTCATTGTTCACATAACCATGACTTGTCAAATATTTACTCAGACGGTTATACCACATCTGCCTGGATTGTTTCAATCCGTAGAGTGATCTCTTCAATCTAATAGAGAGAGTGTTCTGGAACTATTTGAACCAGTCAATGAAAGTCCTTTTGGAACTTTCATGTATATTTCTGTATCTAGATCCCCATAGAGATACGCGGTTACCGCGTTCATAAGCTACATATTCAGTTTTTTGGAAACAACCAAACTGATTAGGAAGCGAAACGATATGACATCCATTACGGGGGAATACATTTCCTCATAATCAATCCCAGGGCGCTAAGAGAAGCCTTGTGCTATGAGGCATGCTTTGTATCGCACTATTTCATTATTCTCATTATGCTTCCTCACGAAAACTCATTTATAGCCAATGGGCTTCACGCGTGGTGGTGTAGGAACAATAGGTCCAAACACCTTACGTTTCACAAGAAAATCGAATTTGACCTGGATTGCTTGTTTCCAGTTTGACCAATCTGTTCTACGTTGGCATTCATCAACGGAACGTGGTTCAATGTCATCGTTAAGCATGATGTCAGTAGCTACTGTGTATGCAAATGCATCATTGATGATCATCTCATTCCGATTCCAAACCTTATCCAACACTGCAACCAAAATCTCGTGATTCTCGGGAGGCCAAGTTGTCTCGTCTAAGACATCGTCGTAATCTAGAATAACCTTATCGATAGTAGAATTCAAACTAGGGTCACTAGTTAGTGCCGGTTTCCTCTTCTAGGGTTGTGAATCCTTTGAACTAAGGGGTCTGGCATGCTTTAGGGTTGGAGCAGATGATTGGTTAACTGCTAATGTACCGGGTCACGGGAAGATGCTCCCCACCTTTGGGGACGATCCGGCCTTCCTAGGAAGGATGGTGACGCACGCAAGGTACTTCTATCCGTGCATGTGTGTTTGCAGTGGGTATATGTGATCTTCTCACCTTAGCTAGATCAGTAAAAGCATCCGACATGCTCTGACCAATACTCTGAAGATCTATAATTTGACGTACCTCAGTTCAAATTGAGCAGTGTGAGGATTTAAATGAGACATAGTAGAAGCATACCACAACAATTCGCGGCATTCTCCAGAAACGTTAACATGCTTATCTCCCCTAACAATGGGAAAACTGTCTCATCAAAGTGACAATCCGCAAAACGTACGATAAAGAAATCTCCTGTCAAGGGTTCTAAATAACGAACAATTGATGGTGAATCATAACTAACATAGATTCCCATTTTTCTCTGAGGAACTATTTTGGTATGTAGTGGTGGTGCTATTGGCATAGAAATTGCATTCCCAAACACACGTAAATGAGAGTCATTAGGCTTGTATGCAACAACCAACTATAACGGTGAATAAGGTTAGGTAGTGGTGGGCCACAAGTGGACCAGTATAGCTCTATGCAATATTGCATAGCCCTAGGCAGATACCGATAGTTTGGTTTGCATAACCAAAGTCCGAGCTATCAATTGAATGCGCTTTATGAAAACTTCTGCTAGGCCGTTTTGGGTATGAACATGGGGTACATGATATTCCACATCAATCCCTACTGACATGCAATAATAGTCAAAAGTCTGTGACGTAAACTCTCTAGCGTTATCTAGTCGAATTGACTTGATCGGATAATCAGGGTGGTCAGCCCTTAGCTTAATAATTTGTGCTAGGAGTTTCGCAAATGCAGTGTTGCATATGGACAACAGGCAAACATGCAACCATCGTGTCTATGCATCAACCAACACTATAAAGTATCTAAATGGTCCGTATGTTGGTTGGATAGGTCCACACATATGCCCTTGAATCCTCTGAAGAAATTTAAGAGGGTCATGAATAATCTTTGTAATTGAGGGTTGAGTATTTAAATTCCCTAAAAAAACATGCTTTGCATGGTGGGAATCCAACGTAGGGAGGTAAATGATGCCTATGTGATGATTTGAGGATACGACGCATCATGTCACATCTGGGATGTCCCATACGGTCGTGCCAAAGCAGCAAAGTGTTCTGGAACTCAGGCACAAGGTCGGCCACATGCTAGGCTTCTATGCCGCGAATGGTTGTGATGTATAACCCACTCGGAAGACATTCCAACTTCTTGTAAATACGCTTCTGGCCATATTCGTACAAAGTGATACAAAGAAATTCAGAACCATTATCATCAGTGGCTTCAATATGATATTGATTACCTCAAATATCTCTAAAACTCAGCAACGTTCTTTTGGAACGTGGAGAATAGAGGGCCTCTTTAATGG